CGTGGTGTGCGCAAGACCGGCATAGACGTGCTGAAATGCGCCCTGAGATCAGAGAAGTGGTGGGAAAACGGTTGGAAGACAGTGGGAGGCACAGCCGGTATGAAGGAGATCTTTGAGAAGCTTAGCATCCAGGACGCTAGGCGGCTGGCAAGAGCCATCGGCTCGTGCTCAAACACCAGTGATCCTCTGAAACGGCAAGCGATCGATGAGCTGATCCATCTGTTGCTCCCGGATCTTTTCAAGCCTCCATCGATGCAGGTTCGGTACAACTCTCAACAGCTACTCAAGTTGGAGGACGTAATGCCGTTGTTTAACCTGTCCAGCGACGCCACTCTGACGAAGGTCTTCTCAACACCCCTGTCCGACGATGTCACCGGTTCCTTGATGCGACAATTGCTCAAGTCTCACATGTTGCTACTAAGGGATATTGCCGTCGGGGTAGTTCCGGTCCATCCTCCGTTCCGGAGGCGTTTGCTCGACCAGCATCTCGCTGCGTTGCTTACATCGAGTGAACCCTACGAGTCCCGGCTCGGTCACGGCAGGAAAGCCGGCTTCCCAGCTATCGATATCACCTTGGACCTTTTCGCAAGTGACTCGGGTGTTTCGGAAAAGGCACGTGCGGTCGATTGGCATGCTCGCGTTCGGTGCATCGATCTGGCTCTCACAACCGCTCGTCGTCGAAAAGTGCCTTTCGACGTTATCTTTGCCTTCCTTGAGCAGGTGTTACCAGACCTGGGACATTCGGAACGGAAGCTCAGCGATTGGGTACCCCTCATATTTTCACTAATAGAATTATGGGTAATTGCTGCTTTTCCAGAGGCACATCTAGAGTCGGTTTCTGATGCGCCTGCTGGACGTTATCGGGAGCGACTGCATCCGTCCCGACCACGAACGACCCACAGAGATTCCTTAGAGACAATGCTTCGAACAGCTTTTTGCACCCTATCAAACGATAATTTTGCTCATTGCCTCAGAACTCTTCTTCCCAAGGCCATTGCGAAGGCAAGGCTTCCCCTACTCAAGATTCTATGCAAGCACCTGCAGTCCCTTGAGATTGATCTGGAGCAGCCTATGCCGTCAGAGAAGGAGCGCAAACTTTTGCCATGGAGTTCGTCGTTTCTCATGTCTCTCCCCGGTCGCGATGCAACATGGCTACTTGAGCGCGCAACACTACTATCGCCGAATAAGAGCTTGACCGGGTCTTTCCGTTTCGAGTGGCCAGCGAGCGCAGGGGACTCGTCATCTTTCCGGGATGTCTTGATTCGAGTCTACTTGGAAGCTGCGGACAGGGAAGCGACCGACCCTGCTAACTTAGTAGCCCGTAAATGTGAGTCAGGTTTCCTGTCTGTATCAAGAATCATGCTGATGCCTATCTGCCATGTACAGTAATTGAAGACGTAAAGCGCAAGGCTGTTAAAGCCCGTGACCCCGAAGACCGGCTGCAGTGGGCAAAGCTGACGATCACTATCGCAAGGATGAGCCGAGACATTCGCCATGTGCAAGGTGTCATCTATTGGACATCGCGCTTCATCCGGGATCCGGTACGTCAATTCTCTATCTCATCATGTATGAGCAGATTGCTAACACTACATGTTTCTCCAGTCCGTGAGACCAGATCTCGCAAGAAGAATTTATCGGGAGGATGTTGCATCCGTTCTATCGTGTGTGGTATCGCCAACTCTAGAGGAGCTGGCCGCTAATGTAGCCATTGCTGACGAGGTGATATCTCATCTCCTGGAACAGGCGCTTCTAACAGTGCAAGAGCCGTGGTATAAGATCAACCAGGATCAAGGTTTTGGCCGGCTACTTAAGCTTGTCGTTTCTAGCCGGATACATGCGGTGAAGCGCTTGTGTTATCGTGGTCTAGGGAGCGAACAGGACGTGGTGGACAGGTTATTCGAGGGAATAGTGCCAATACTGCTCAGATATGAAACATTGGGTAGCACGGAAGGATACGAATCCCTTGGGTGGGGACAATTGTCTGGCCCACTTACAGACCTCCATTGCCCGCCGAACCCACCAGTCCCGATTCTAAAGCTCTTGGATTCGCTCGCACAGCACAGAGATCATCTTTGGGTTAAACAGCGCAGTCTTCGGAGCCCACAAACCGATACTTTGTCCGAGGGCCTACCGCGAGGTCTACCGCTTCAGTATTTCCTTCCTTCGCTGGAATGGACGATAGCGGTGATGAAATCGCAAGGGCCTAGCGCCTTTGTAACTCAAAGAGTGACCGAAGTTGTCTTCTCCAATCCTGGTCTACTCCTTCAAACAGTGAAGGAGGACGAGCGCAAAGTGTACTTGGTGGATAGCTTGAGATTTGCAATAGGGGCTTACGTCGATCATCTACCGGTCGCTGAACGGGGGAAAATGATACTGGAGATTTGGAGGCATTACTCGGAAAGAATTCCATCTTCTGCAGGCCATCTGGAAGCCTTCAGGAGAATAATGTGCCCCGTGCTGGAAGGATCCCGAAGCTTACGGAGACTGGCGAGCACCATCGACCCTCCCCAGTTGCCTTCTGTGGATATATTCAAGAACTTGTCACGCGACTCACCAAGCCTCGAATGGGAGCCCCGATCAGCAGATATACCACAAAATGGACAGGGCTGTTGGGAGGGTTCACTATTACAGGTTCGATTGTTTGCCGAGAAGGAGGACAAGTCTTTAGAGACATCATTGGCATATCCCAATGTCTCCATCGGGCGGCCAGCACCTGAGAAGCCCAAGACCTGGGAGATATGGTTGCTCAAATATGGCCCCTGGAGTCTTTCCTCCCAGTACCGAGAATCTCTGATTGCCTCCGCCCTCTTGTTTCTCAACAGTCTAGCCCGCAATACGGACCGCATATTGTCCAAACCATTTCCCGAAAATACAGATATTCTTCGGTATCCACCAGTGCACCTTGATTACGAATTTCTGTCCTCCATCGACAACCAGAAGAAAGCAGCAACTGTAGCTGTTCGTCTTCTTAATCGCTTGGTTAAAATAGTACCACCTACCCTGCTGTGTGACCTTTCGCTGTCCCTCTTGAAAACTCTCCACGTCCTTGAAAGCACATCGCCAAAATATGCACTAGTTCAGCAACTTGCATTTAGAACAATGGCACTGGTGCGGCGCTCAGATAGGCCTGAACTGGCGGCGATGCTAGGTTTGAAAGCGCTTCAGCTATTCCCAGAAGCTTCGTCGTGGCACCGGATGGCATTCCCCTCGTCGCTCCTCGAGGCCCTCACTCGCCCAAATGCGGACCGGGTTATAGGCGATTTCACTGCGTATGTTTTCAAAGCATTAGAAGAGCAGAAGCAGAAAGCAAGCTTGAAACCTCCGACAAGAGGGACGGTAATTAAGATCACAACGGTGAAGATGCTGGCTACGATGCTGGCGGAAAGCAAATCTGGCGTGTCACCCCTTGCTGCCGTCAAGGGTTTGAATGATCTCTTTCATGCCAGCAATCATATTGATGTCCGGGTAGAAGTGTGCAGGGCTCTACTGAAGATCATAGAGGAGTGCGATGGCAATGAACAGGCCTACGAAACATTTACATCGCTCACATCCTACGCCGCAGTGCCCAGCGAAACCACCGACTGTAGATCTTGGTTGCAATCAGAGAGCGCCGAGCTTCCGAGGGTGGATTGGCAACGACCCCTTCTCAATTTGTTCACCAATGATGCCTACGACAAACTGCCTGCAAGATATCGTGAACACTACACCTACAACGCGCTTCTACCGCTCCTTGACGAATCGACAAGACAACATAATCGATGGATGCACCAATTCCTTTCCCCACTTGATCTCACGCCCGACGAGCGGTCGGTGACTGACTTTGGCCCTTTTGAGCCAGATCTGATTGAAAAATTAATGGAACGATGGTCTGAATACCTGCCCCGGGAATTTCTTCTTAGGTACCGGGCTTGGATGCTGGCCTACCTTGATTGCATACGGCTCCGGAACGTCGACGACAAGATGACCGGGAAAGACGGATCATGGCGGACTTCTGACTCATATTCTCACTGGAGTAGGTGGTTCGGTGTCCATGCTAGAATCAAATCTTTCCATGCGCTATTAGGAAACATTGTAGCCAAGAAGGACCCCAAGGTTCCAAATGGCATAACCCGGGAAGATCTCGCGGATGAGATTGTGGCCTGTGGAGAAATCTTTCTTCGCAATCCCTTCAAGATGTTGTCTTATCAGGTCGACGTGTCTTTGGACCGAATTACGAACCTACTTTCTACGCTAGGGATACCCCAACCCAATCGTCGCACCGAGGTTTTGCCGATTGCAGAACGAATAATAGCATTCGCGCAGGGGCTGCGAACCGAAGAATGGACTAGCGACCCGTATCGCAGCCCCCCTGTTCTCCCCTCCATATTCCAACTCCAAATCCTGCTTCTCCCGTTTCCCCAGTTCCACCAACAGGATCCTTACCGGTACACCAGGTTTGTATCCAGCACGTTGGCTTTGGTTGATGAGTGTGTCTGTTTTGATACGTACATCGCCGACAGGGATGCTCTCCAGGAGGCGATGAGTCGCGTAAGAAAAGAGGACGCGCGCCAATGTGCACTGGAATTCGGACAGCGGTATGAGTCCAGTGCAACTGCCCTTGTACAGTACGTGAGGGTATGGCTCGCACAGGTGTTGATACTCAGATGCAACATGCACAAGGACGAAAATGATTTGACAGTACGAGCAATGATGTCTCAGTGGAGGAACAGTTTGAACGAGTCGATACGAACTATTGGATGGTCTACCTACCCCCAGGCCCTTTAACAATGTCCTGTACTCAGTAAAAGTCTGCATGTTTGTCCTTTAGACGTGCTCCCTTTATTTATTAAGAAAGTGCAAAACAACATAGAGTCAAATAATCAAAGGAGCGTGCAATCGGTATACAGTGAAATGTTCGGTCTTGAAATTAACAAACCCGGCTGGCGGGCAGTGGCATTAGATGCTATTTCATCGTAACCTGACCTTCAAAGATGCTGAGAGGATGAGACTAGCAAAAAAGAGCCCAGACGCAAGAGTCGAACTTGCGACCTCACGCTATTTTGGTAAATTAATCGTGCGCTCTGCCAACTGAGCTAGTCCGGGTGGATGTTACATGGAAAGTGCGGGGAGTGGCCTAAATTGGTGGGAGACGGGTTTCCAAGCCCCAAAGATTCTAATGCTTGAAACATAGGTTTACATGCACAGTACGGCTGATGGAGAAACTGAGGACCATCTATTTGTTCGTTGACATTCAATTTAAGGGGTGTCATAAAAAAGGAGAAAAAAAGGGGGGAGATGGTATGCCCTTTTGCGTCGCCATCATACATCCATCAACAGGGTAGGCATTGTTCCTCTGGTCAATGACTTTTGTCAAACAAGACGTATTTCTTACGAGTTAGCCAAGGCTGTGAGACTCAAAGAAACGGGCCATCGGCGCTAGATAAGGGAGTGAATTTGTTGGCTCAATCATTCAAATGTCATCCATCCAGCTTGTGCTTGGATTGTCGACGTGCAGCTTTGGTGCCTGGGCCCGACTTAGCCCCCACGCGGCGGCGCCACACGCATCAAGAATCGGTCTCCGTCTATTCCCTTTTGCAGGTGTATTCCGCGGGATCTTACTCTGCTACTTCGAGTGATCGAGCAGTCTCAAAACACCAGAAAATGAGTCAGCCATGGTAACAAAAAGATGTTTGGTTCTGTGCTGTGGACACTAGCGGTTATGGGTCGCCATAACGAACATTGCCACCTCCGCTAAGATTGCGTCAAAGTAGGCAATAAATCCCCTGATTTACTGCGCTACCCTCACCTTTATGCTGAGATCCATGAAGTGAGAGAGACAGTTTTCGCTCCGCAGTTAACAAAAACAAAATTAAAACTCTGGTGGTATTTGGCGGCGGCTACATCTACTGGCAGAGTAAATTGACCAGCATTTTCCCGGCATCCTCGGTGACATATGGGACTTGTGAATACATGGCCCTGTCATTGATGTCACCATGCTCATAGCTAATTAATAAGTACTATTAATATATCAGTACTGTAGAGAAAGTGTAATATGAGACAGGCTGTATATATCTCTCCCCTCAGATATACTATACTATATGCTAAGATGTAATTAGAGAATTCTAGCTACTGCCTAGTATATAATACTTGCTGCGCGGTAGCGCGCTTGAATAAAACCTGTAGCCGTGCCTTATCAGTCATAAAGATAACAGGCCAAGTAATATAAGTAATTATAGTAGAAAGAAGGTATGTGTATTTTAAAGTAGAATTAGCGAGGCCTTTATTAGTAGTGACAGTATTAGTAGTGGCATTAATATGAGGGATACAGTCAGCTCAGGGCCCGGATTATCTTGGTCAGTACAGCAATGGTTTTCTCTTATACTACATAACCTATGCCATCTCAAATGTTAGCGGCGTCAGAGCTACATTACTCCCAGTGGTGTTAACATCTGTCATTGTAGCCTTGCTACTGAGGTAGGTGACTGACCAGTGCTTGAGAAAGAAGGGGAGATGCTTTGATTGACTGGAGTTCTGGGTTTGCAATCAAAGCCCAGTGGGGTGCGAGGCGCTAGTCTAGTGAAAATTGATAACCAAGTGCTTTGTTGGAGTGAACGGATGCGCTCTGTTTGATAGCAGCGCTTCCAAACACTCTATGCCTCTCACCATCATTATGTACAACGAACAGAAGTATACTATCAGTTTACACGGAGAATCCCCGATCTAATTTGTGCCTTAACCTTGTGAGGACGACCTCTCACCTTGCATACGTATGATGATAATCATTTATTCAAGCTAAGTGACAGCTGTACAGACAGCTGCACAGATAAACCCTACAGACATAGTGACAGTCTCGAGATATCTCTTTCGGCGCATACAGTCCGGTTACCACATCAGGCCTGCACTCCAGGTTCCAGAACGTTAAACTCATCGAGAGCAGAGTCTAATCTGACAAGCGTGTTGATGGGTAGAGTCAGGAATGGACTCGTGTGGCCAAAGTCAACGTTCATCAAGATCGGCAGCTGCTCCTCACGACTTCGACCAACAATTACATCAAAGACTTCCTCGATCACACTTGCCAGCTCATCCTGCATATGAGTATCATATTTGTACCCTCGCCCAACAACCAGTCCGCGAATTTCATGCAATATGCCAGACAGAGCGAGATCGACAAGGTTATTCCGGAACTGAGACACAGAATACGGCAGCTGCAAGTTGTCGCCCATTGCAGACTCAAGAAAGAGAATCTTGTTTTCCCACGAGGCGGGGGCGTAGTGAGTTCCCTGAAGACGTACGACACAAGGTACAGTGCCCCCATATAAATATCCAGTGGCACGGCCTTTCCGAAGCCATCTCCACGACGGTGAATCGACGGTCTCGCGCGGTTTGTCGGGTATTCCTTTGCTCAATAAGAAATCGTTATGCTCGGTCGAGCAGATGGACGACCGAGGAAGTGGACCCACTGACATTCCCGCCTTAGTCAGCACATGAAGGAAGTGGTCGATTGTGAGTTGTATAGGCTGAGGAAAATCAGAAAAATCTGTAAGGACACTGGGTCCGTAAAATGTACGCAAGCCGGTCTGAGATTGAATCGCATAGTGAAGAAAGGTAGTGTCACTGTAGCCGACGAAAATCTTAGGATTTGTTCGAATAAGGGAGTAGTCGAGGAAAGGTAGCAGTTCATTAGCATGCGCGCCGCCGATCGTGCAAATAATGGCGGCAATCGTGCTATCACGGAACGCGGCATGGATTTCCTCGCAGCGAACGCGAATAGATTCTGAGATAGTGGTTGTTGCCTGGCTAGAGAAAATAATCTGTACGTCGAAGCCTAGAGACTCCAGACAGGCTTTCCCTCGCGCAAGGGGAGTAGGTAGGATATCATTGAGACGTGCGGAGGGCGAGATAAACGCGATCTTGTCTCCCCTCTTCAGAGCTTTCGGAATGATTGTGTCCATTGAGGTTGTTGGGCATTGAGCAGATACTGCGTGATACGAAAATCAGTGTAGATCTGCCAAGGAGTCTCGCGCCACTCGTTGACATGACAAGACAAGCCTCTGGTCTCGATCGAGCGGCTTGTGGAGCTGGATTAAATAGTGCAGTTGAGCTTGACATTCGACGAGCAGTTGTGTTCCGTAGTTCTGATTGGCAGAGATCTTTCGCGCGTGGATCCGCCGTTAACTTGGTTCCGCATCGCCGCATGTCCAACCTCCTGAGCAACTGAGTTGACAGAAGGCGCTGGTCGTCAGGTATACCCGTCACTGGGTAATTCAAAGAAAACGATGTCAACAAACAACTCTCGAATGAGACTTTGAGTATCAGGACTGAAGCCTGGAGTCAGCTACGAATTAATCAAAGCGATGCAGGCCACCACATTCGAAGTGCCATTGAATTAGTCGTTATCTCTATGGTATCCTCCCATCATTATCCGTTCCAGTGCCCCACTCAACTGATGTCCGTGCATTTCCTAATACCCAGCAACCCCCCCAAGTCTACCAGTAAGCCTTGTTCACCCTCACGCAATGAGTCCGTGACATACGAGGCTCTATCTGCCATGGATCGTAAGCAGGCAAGAGCAATTTGCCTTGCTCCCAAATTGGAACTCGGATTTAAGGCTCTTCAACGCGATTGTCGCGCTTGCTGCTGGAAGTCCCTTTCTTACGTGGGCGCTCTATGGAAAATTGCCACATGGAGCAGCACAGATATTCCCCTTCGCAGCCCCAATGTCCAGTGTCGCGACGCTCAATGGTAATAACATCCTCAATCTAAGTGCAGCCGCTGTGCAGAGCTTTTCAGAACTGTCACTATCCAGCCACTGTTGTACCGTGGCCGCAGCCGCAGCCTAGCGTACTTACAGTGCCGAATGAAACATGTCCCTGCACCCCGTGTCATCAGTCTGAAAGCATCATTGCCCTTCAACACAGGGGTTTTATTGTGCTTAGCTGGCCTACGTGGATTACGGACATTCGATGCTTGTGCATCCGCGGAAAATTAAACGTGATCGATCTTCCATCGAGTGAAACAGAACATGGCGTGAGCACTAACTCACCGGTTCCCACTCTACTAAATACTATGTATAGATGTGTGCCAAGTCAGCTTTATACTGTTTACTAGAGGGTGGTGACAGCTCGATGGTGCTTTGTCTTGTAGTTGACTCTACTGCAAATACACATAACCCGTAGCATGAGCAAGCAGAACGAAGAGGCTATCCCTCATGCAGTGGTATATACCTATTAAAGGTATTCTCACTGAATCCCCGATTAGTGCCCACAAACCCTACCTTCCGAGCCTGTGGCGTGCAAACCTCCGTTTGAGGGATACAGACGCACCATACCCTGATCATGGACTATGCTATACGTTGTTCTGGGGCAGATCCAGTAGTCCCTTGATGCTGGCAGCTGCAACAACAAGAAGAAGAAGGATCCTTAGCCCCGGGCGGGCTCTAAATTCAGAAAACCACTCCTGTAAATTGCTGATAGTAGTAGTTATATCTTATACTCAAATTTAATGCAATCACGTTACTCTTGGTAAGTTACTAACAGCCAGAAGAAGATTTCTCTTTCTAGTACATACTAGCAGTTTTCTATCCAGCGAGATTCAGGGGCAGTGATTTCATATAAACTTTGAAAAAGAATTTAAATTTTGTTCTCTATACTGCATTCCGGTTTTATGGAATCTTTCGTGCATATGTACAAAGGTCTGCAGGACAATCTTAGAGAGAAGCTCTAAGGAATTCCTACTACACTCAGTATAGAGACGGCGAAGGTTTACCCTCCTCCGAAGCCAAAGACTCCCGTCATCAATTGCTGATATTCTCCCCCGTTCCTTTACGGTCGTACAGGTTAGGCTTGCCTTCAGATATCGCTATTCGACAGCATACTCGAATGTCTACAGTTCTTGCAGGACCACAGAGTACAAGGAATGGCGTGTGGCGGATGACAGGAGTTGCAAAGTGCCATCCTCAGGCGGACCTTGAGACTCGGGGTCAACATAGCCGACCATGATTCCCCGCAGGAAGCCTCACTTTGACCCCTGCTAGAACCGGCACTGATGGTCTCCAAACCATCTTGTAGTTTCTGATGGTGGGGTCTCTTTGTCCTTCTACTACC